TCTGATAACTTTATCTTGATACAACCTTTATCTTGCAATCAGAAAATAAAAATGCAAGTCAGTTTTAATAGTGTCCAAATTTGAAATACATGGGATTTAACATTAATCTCACCTTGTATGTATGATAGTTTGTGTGATAACAATAATGTACATACCAATGACTACCTAGTAGTCTCTACAAGATTTCTATCCTAAATCCCACTGCTTGAGCTATACATTATGTATTCAAATTTATGACTTGGTTCTGGTAATTCTTACAACAAAGTTCTTTCCCTTTTGTTATATGACCAATTTTCAACTTTGTCATATTTAAGTTTGATGAGGAAACAATAAATAAATAAATAAATCACCAGTACAGGTTTACCCAGTCCTAAGTGACTTCTATCTCTGACTTGTGCCTGATAATTTTTGAAAAAAGTCTTATAAGGGCTGGGGATATAGCTCAGCTGACAGCATCTGCCTAGTAAGCACAAGGTATTGAGTTATAATTTCTGATACAAAAAAAAAGTCTTCGGCTGGGGAGTCAGCTCAGCAGTATACCCGCCTGCCTGGCAAGCACAAGATCCCAAGTTCGATCCTCAGTATCACATGCTATGTGGGCCCTGGAACCCTGGGAACACTGTGCTGGCCCTGAAACCAGGCATGGTGATGCATGCCTGTAATCCCAGTGCTGGGGAGGCTGAAACAAGAGGATCACTACAAGTCTGAGCTGCGTAGTGAGACCCTGTTCCAAATATATATTTGCTCTAAGAAAATCACCTTAGAGCAAGTGAGCTCTTCTAAAATGTCCTTTGAGATATATATATATATATATATATATATTAAAGTCTTATAATGTCATAGGAACTTCTGAGACTCCTGAATACAATTCACATCTGAAATTATAAGCAGAGCCACACAGAATTCTTCGCATGTCATGAATGGAACACCAGGTTCCTGTGGGGACACCGTACTGTTCTCCCACCCTCTCCTTAGCTTAGCCCTTCCAATATCACAGTCTTTGACATGACTTATTGTCATGAATATACAATGTGAGCAGAGCTGGTTCGTGCTATTTGTGAAATTGACAGCTCTTACACAGTCTGCTTATACCAATGAATTATGTCATCTTTTATAAGTTTTAAATAGGCATTTGGTTACAGGTTACTCTTGACTATGACAAAACTCATGCTTTCTTTAGGGTATGTATCTCTGATCAAACAAGCTCCCCAAACAATTTACCTGGCCTGTAACAGGATAAACATGTCAAGAATCCTACAGAGTTTAGTCAAAATATGGTTACATGCACCTCTGCCCTTCATCCCCATACTTCTGACCCCTAACCAAATTTCAATTATATAAGAGTACTGGCCGAACTGTTTTTATGAGATGTGGTTAATTTTCATAAAATCTAATATAAGCTATATTTTGTCCTATGAACTACTATAAGGAGGAAGAGAGAATATCTACACTACTATACTCTATTAAGGGTAACTACAAAATCAATCTATTTACTTCATTCTAGAAAATAACTTGTGCCTTAAAAATCACAAAAATGTGACACAACTTACCCAGGAACCACCAACTTCTGTCCATTGTGGATGCGGTATGAACACCGATAATCATCAGGAAGCTTGCAGCCAATCTGAGCCTCCACTGCGTCTAGGTCTTCCTCCCGTGCACCCTCTGCAAACCACACCAAGGAGGGAATTGTGAAGACACATGAGGCTTCAATGGGAAAAGAAAACAAATTTATCTTGCTAACTCTGGAAATCACCTTACAGCAAGTGAACTCTTCTAAAATATCGTGCAAGAGAATAGGGCAAATGAAGTGCAGCTGAAAACTCATGTGGAGCACTGCTGGTACTAAGCAAAACATGGAAAGTGGGCAAAAATGAGATGTACAATACACTGTTGTTACACTGTAATTTGAATATATCTCATTTTTAACAACCTAATACATTCAATAATGTCTTATTTAAAAAACCAAAAATTCTCTAAACTGATTTTTAGAATTTTAAAATCGTTTTTCTTCCTCTCTTTTTAATTTGAAACAAGGTCTTGGCTATGCTGCCCAGGCTGGTCTCAAACTTCTGGGCTCAAGTGATCTTCCTGCCTCTGTCTCCAAGTACTGAGACTACAATCACACACTGCTGTGCCCAGATTTAATGTGGTCTTCCTATAATAAATTAATTAGGATACAAGGTACAGGTTCATACTGTGAGCAGGCCACTGAATTTGCACATCTGCAAACTTCCATATTGTTTAGCTTTAAAAAGCATGAAGAAACTACAAATACGAGAGGAGAGCTCCACCTCAGTATGGCCTACCAGCACATTATTGGACAACTTAACAGAAAACCACAGAAGAGAGGTGGTTCAGAAGAATAATCTAAGGTTAGTCAGCCTCTGGAGTCACTTTGTTTTTGAAGCAACTGCCAATTCTAAAAGCTAACATGAGGTAAAAAAGGCCAGGAAGCTGAGTAAAGATTTAGGCACTACCATAAGGCTGGAGGATAAAAAATAGTGGGGTGCACAGGACAACTGCGAAATGGACCTGGTAAAAACCCAGGTCATTTGGCTAAGACCCAGAAGGGCCACATCCCAGGAATAGGAGGAAATGAAAATAGACTACTACAGTACTCAGAAAGATGAAAACCCAGCTTCCAATCACACTAGCTCCTAACTGGGCTAAGGCAACCTATCCACTGGTTAGATGCCAGCCAGCCAAAGGCAGAAAGAAACTGCTAGAAGATAGTAACACTGCCCTCAAACTCAAGTAATGTCTAGCAATCACATAAAGATAAAATCTGACTAAAGAGCAAAAGGGGGAAAAAAACCAACGAAAAATGAAATTAGGTCTACAATATATCTAGTTACTGAAGTGAGTAAACATAAATACCCATACATTGATGTATTCAATGAATTACATAACAAGATAGAAAATTGCAGTCATGAGTCAAGAAACAATTATGAACCTCATGGAGTAAAATTACAAAATTGTATCTAGACAAATCTCTGGAATACTGCTAAAAATCAAAATGTTAAACAGCAGCTAGAGGTAGAGAAAGGCATATAATTACTACTTTCAAAGGAAACAGTCAAACAGCTGACTTATCAACAGAAACAAAGAAGTCCGAAGAATGATATCTTCAAAGTGACTGAAAAAAAAAAATATCAGCACTGATTAGAATTCTATATCCAGTGAATATATCCTCCCAACAGGAAAGATGAAATAAATACATTTCATGGGCTGGGAGTACAGCTCAGTGGTAGAACTCTTACCTGGTGTATGTGGAACACTAAATCCATTCCCAGCACCAAAATAAGTTAATTATTTAGTACATTTTTAGACTAAGAAAATGGAAAAGACTCAGCAGCACCAGACCCTCATTAAAAGAATGAGATGGTGCACACCTATAATTGCAGCACTGGGGAGGCTGAGGCAGGAGGATCATTGCAAGTTTGAGGCCAGCCTGGACTAAAAAGTGAGTTTAAGGCCAGTCAGAGGTTTTGTCTCAAGAGACAAAAAGAAAAAAAAAAAAAAAAAAAAAAGAGAGAGAGGAACAAAATTCTTCAGGCAGGAAGACAATGATCTTCAGTAGACAATGATCCTCAGTAGAAACATGAAGATGTAGGAAGGAAAAACAGCTAGAAAAAGCAAGTACCAGACTGAGTTTGGTGGCACGAGTCTGTAATCCCAGTGCTTGGGAGGCTGAAAACAGGAGGATCATTATGAGTTCAATCTATGTAGTGAGACCCTGTAGACCCTGTACTAAATACATGATAAATAAGAAAGAAAGAAAGAAAGAAAGAAAGAAAGAAAGAAAGAGCAAATACAAAGAGAAATCTAAATCAATATTGAGTAACTATACAATAATAATGCTTTTAGGGATATTAAGTATGTTAAAAATTAAAATTGAAAAAGTATACAAAAGAGAAGGGGTTACAACTCAGGTGGAGAGCACACTTGCCTAACATGCACAAGTGCCTGAGTTTGATCTACAACACTCTAGTCTCCCAAATAAAACCACAAAACTAGTAAGGCAGGAGGGAGATGATAGGAAATAAGGCATTCTAAGTTTTCTTTCATCATGAAGAAGTTATAAAAATACGAACCTACATTAGATCTTATTAAGTCAAAGATATACGTTTTTTGTGTGTGGAACCAGGAATTGAACTCAGGCCCTTGTGCTTGCCAGGGAAGCGCTTATTCTACTGAGCCATCTCCCCGGTCCAAAGATACACATTTTAATATCTATGGTAACGGCTAAGAAAGTATAAGAAAGAGTAAGGGAATGAAAAAGTCGTAAGAATGCAAAAAATACAACAATAGACATGATCTATTTAAATGCAAATATATACACTAAATATAACTGGGTTAAATACTTTAGTGAAAAGATAAACTGAGACACCAGGTAAAAACAAGGGCTGGGGATGGACATCAATGCTAGCCAAACATGCAAAGTCACAGGACCATTTGAAAAAATCAAAAACCAACCAAGTAAAAAACCACACAATTATAGACAGGAGATACCTATATATAAGTACAGAGAGAAAGCTAGAACAGTTCTACTAAAAATCACAAGAAAAAGACTTTAGGGGCCAGGGATATGGCTCAGTAGAATAAGCACTTTCCTGGAAAGTGCAAGGACCTGAGTTCAATCCCCAGTTCTGCCAAAAAAAAAAAAAAAAAAAGAAACAGACTTTAAGGGAAAACAGCTTTACTAAAGCTAATGGAAGGCTTCTCATTATAACAGAAAGGTTAAACCTATCACACAGATACTATAATAATTTTAATTTTTTATACCTAAGAATACAGCTTCAAAATGTATTTTTTAATTTTTTTTTTTTTTTTTTTTTTAGGCAGGATCTCACTATACGGTTCAGGCTGGCTTTGAACACACTTTGTAGCCCAGACTGGTCTTGCTTGAACTCAGTGATCCTCCTGCTTCAGCCTCCCAAGTGCTGTGATTATGGTCATGTGCCACCATGCCCAGCTAAACTGGAAAATTTTCATCTACAAGCATATTTTTCCAAGTCTGCAGTATTAGCAGCTTAACATAACACTCATTACCTGGGAATGTAGCTCTGGGGTAAAGTGTTTGCCTACCACATGTGAGGCCCTGAATTTAAACCCTAGAGCCACACAACAAACAACCAAGCCAAAAACACTTTTATTTTTCAAGTAAATGTGAGGCTGAGACAGCCCGGGTGAGGCTCCTTTCTTAAATACCTCTCCCACACCAGAGAGCCAGCCCCTGTTCTGTAGGCTCAGTTGAGGGGAGGTAGAGAGAGCTGAGTCCACCTCCCAGGAAACAGAGCCAGGAGTTTCGCATATTATTTCAGAAGTCCAGGCATGACTCAACTGGACCTACTATTCAGGTCTTACAAGGCTGAAGTCTTACTCTATGTATCTTCTGTTTGGGATCTTCTTCCAATCTCACTAACTGCTGATAGAATTCAATTCCTAGCAGCTGCAGGATGGAGGTATGGAGGTCCCCTGCTCCTACAAGCCACCTGTCATCCCCTATAATGTGGACTTCTCCATAACATGCCAGTTTATTCAAATTCAACACAGAGAGTCACTTCAAATCTTGCTGACCTTTGGGAGGCCTAGTCCCCTTGAAGGACTCACTTGACTGAGGCAGGTCTGTCCAAGGCAACTTCTCTTGTGAATAACAAAGATCTCAAATTCAACACACTTGGGACTTTACATCTGCAAAAATCCCTCCTTTTCCATTTATGTGGCTTAATCACAGTGCAGCAGTGAGATCAATTTTATTCACAGTTCTGCCTACATTCAACAACAGATTATTGTACAGCAGGGGTTGGGAATCTTGGGTGCTACCTCAGATCTCTGCCTCCACAGTAAGAGATTTTAGCATACTTCTCTCAGTGACTAACAGAAACAAGTAGAAAATAAGAAAATGGTGCAGAAGATTTGAACAAGATTAACAAATTTTACTTAATTATATCTACAGTACTGAACAAAACAACGGCAAAAGCTATATTCTTTTTTGCTTTATTTGGTACCAGGAGTTGAAATCATGACCTTACTTGTGCCACGTAGGCGCTGTGCTGCTGAGCTATATTCCTGGCAAAGCTATATTTTTTTAACTGAAAAATGAAACAATTACCCAAATAGACAAAACAGATTATACATGGACCACAGCACAAATCACAACCAATTTTAAATGAGAGAACTCACAAACACTACATTCTCTAGTCATAATAAATCAAAATGTTTTTAATTTTTCTTTAAAAGTATATTTTTAAAGATTACAAAAAGGTCTGAATATCTCAAAATTAAACAATGCATTTCTATATAACAAGGGTAATGAAAATATATTGAACTCTGTAGGATAAGCTAATTTGCTTAGAAGGAAATTTATAGCACTAAAAGCATTTTTTTTTTAAAAAAAGAAAGCTTGAAAATCTATGGCCTAAGTAATCATCTCAAGTCAGGGGCAGGGGATCACAATAAAACTCAAACAGAAGACAAATTAATGAAATAAAAAATTAAGACATAAGAGAATTGACCAAGAAGCCGGTTTTTCAAAGGACAAATTAGCCTTCATCTAGCAAGAAAGTATAAAAACTTTGTATTAGAAACAGAAGTGGTATCACACATTCAGTAAGAATTAAAAAGATATATATTCTTTTTATATGATAAAATATTTATGCCAATTAATTTAAATATTTAGATGAAGAGAATAATTTCCTATATAAACATAATTTTATCGAAATTGATGTAAGAATAAATAGAAACTCAGTAGGATAAGCATTTGATGGGCAAACTAAAGGATCTGAGTTCAATCCCCGGTTCCAAAAAAAAAAAAAAAAAAGAATAAATAGAAAGCCTGAACAGTGCTATCTCTAACAAAGAAATTAAATCTTTAAATGAAAACCTTCCCAGGGTAAAAACTCAAGAATTGAATGGCTTGCTGGTAAAGGCCCTGGATTCAAAGCATGAAAAATACATTCAAAAAGAAATCACAGGGCTGGAGAGATAGTATGGTGATCTAGCCTGCCTGGCAAGCGCAAGGACCTGAGTTCGATTCCTGGTACCATGTGCCCTGGTGGTCCTGAAACCAGGCATGGTGGTGTACGCCTGTAATCCCAGTGCTGGGGAGGCTGAGACAAGAGGATCACTACTTGTCTGAACTATGTAGCAAGACCCTATATCAATAAAAGTTAAAAAAAGGAAAGACATCATGATATTCTCAAGTAATCTTGGCATTATTTTCTTTATATAAAACAAGTATAAAGATAAAAACAAGTATAAGGATAAGCAAGTATAATTCTCTTCAAATAAACCACTATGTGAGTTCCAAGGCTAAGCAAAAACAGGTCAAGCTCCAGAGCAGTTATTTCTACTCTACTGATGCTCCACTTGCTTGCCAACTGTGAATGGTGGACTACAGACAGGCTTGCATCAGTACAAATGCACAAATGACAGACATTCAGAGTTACTGAATTTATTCACACTAGTAGTTAGGGGAAGGGGACCCCCGTATTCCCAGTACCTTTCAGAGATAAAACCATCCGAGGACACCTGGGCTCCAAATATTTCTTGAGATCATCCCAGGCCTTTTTAATAGCAGCATAATGGTCAATGTATCTTCCTACATCAGAATAAGTATCTATGAAGAGAGATTTCCAACACTGGTTCTTCTGTGTTTTTTCCTCCCTAAATAGATTTTTAAAATGAGATTTAAAATCTTTGGAAAGGATGTTAGCATATATTTTCAACACCAACACATTTTATTATTTTAGCTAGGAAGGGAGACTATATAGCAAAAAAAGCACATTTCAAAATTTTAACAGGAGCTACTGTTGGCATGGTGGGATTATGACTCACTTCTTTTCTTACTTTCTACTTACAATTTTTTCTAATCATTAATAAAATATACTGTGAATAGTATATGAGTAGAATTTCAACTTATTCCTAACATCAACTATATAAAGATATATACAGTTGTTCCATTTTAGAGAATATTTAAAATTTAGTGATATAATATTAAGGTAGCACATCTGTATTACATTAGAGAACCATTAAAAAAAAAAAAAAACATAAAGCAGCAAAATAATGATATGATTCAACATTTCTATTTGGTATAATTCTGCAAACATTTATTGAGTATTCACTTGGCTGCCACTGAAGGCATAAAACAATAAGGCAGAATTTTTTAAAAAATAACTTCAAAATGGTATGGTCTTACAAGGGAGAAGGAATAAAATATAAATTTAAGATTCAGAAGTGATTGAGAATAAAGCAGATATAAAAAGGCCTGAATATTACTTACTGATTTGTTCAACTTTTTTGTGTAGGAAATGGGAGCAATGGAAGTTTTAACTGAGAAGTTAAAAAAACTGTGGAAGCAGAGGCACAGAGGAATTAGGAAGATTTGCAGTAGTATTGGTTAAGAGATGAAGAACTGAATAAAACCCTGGAAACTAAGTAAAATGGACTGGAAGCCTTAAGAACATACAATAGCTAAAATCAGGAAGGGCTGGAAATTGAATCAAGGAAAGAAAGAGGGAAGAGAGCTAAGATGATTACTTCTGGCTTGGATGCCTGGGCAGACAGTGCTCCCATGAAGACCAAGGATGCAAAGGGTAGGTTTAGGGATGAGGAAAGAACAAATCAAGGTATGGTTTTCAGGAGGAGAGCATCTCTTCATTAATCTATACAATGTATACATACATCATCAAACTAAAAAGTACCAAAAAACTGGGGTAGGGGTACAGCTCAGTAGTACAGCGCTTGGTTAGCAAGCATAAAGCCCTCATGCCTTAAAAAGTAAAATAAAAATGTAGAATGTGCCAAAAAACTAATTTTTTTTGGTCCTCCATGGCCACCGTCCACTAAAAAACAAAACAAAAACAAAACAAAACAAAAAAAAAACAATTAGTTCTAAACCCAACCTCTCAAAAACATCTTAAATTATTTAAGAATATTGTATCTCTATGATTCTAAATGTTTAAATCTGATTCTTGATTTATCAACTTTATACATCACTACTGATATGCTAAAGCAGAAGATGAGGATATAGCAATATTACAATTGAAATCCAATTTAACTAAAATTCCCTCTTTTTCATTTTTTTACTCAATGTTAAACACTGCAGCTTTAATTAATGCACTTAAACCACTATTTCTTGTTTTACCAACCTTACTCACTACCTGCCTCCCCTCAATCTAAGAAAGTAGTATCTCTACCTTTCCTTTAACCTTTCCCAACTCTCACTATCTTGTCATCTATATTTTTATTCTGTCAAACTGTTAATATCTACTGATCCCAATCACGGCATGCATGACAGTCAAGGGAAAGGTCCAGCAGACAGTGCTGCCAATGAGCCCAGAACCAAGTGAGAACATCACAGGGAGAGAGACTCATGTCTGGGAGTTTGAAGAACTCAGATGGCCACTAGGAACTGCAGGAATGCATGCTGAAAAGCTACAAAGGAAGAGCAGTGGGCCCAGGACAAACCTCAAAGAACAGCAAGCTTCCCTAGCAGGCCCAAGAAGAGCTATCAAAGGAGACAAGGGTTAGAAAGTGAGGACAGACTGGTGTTACAATAGCCAAGAGTCACATTTCAAGTATATTCCGAGCCAGGGAGATAGCTCAGTGGCACAGCTCCTGCATAGCAAGTGTAAGATCCTGAGTTTGATTCCTGATTTAAAAAAAAAAAAGTATATATATATCCACACTAGAGGATGGGAAGGGAAAGAAGGAAAGGAAGGAGAGAGAGATTGAATGACAAGCACTAAAATACTGTACAGCTAAATAGGAGGAATAAGTACTACTGTTCCACAGCACAGTTCAGTGAGTCAAGTTTACAACAATTTATTCTATACCTTATAGAACTGAGAGGAATTCAAAGGTTCTAACACAATGAAATGATTATAGGTTTAAGAAGATGGAAATGCTAATGAACCTCATTTGATCATTACAGTTGTATGCATTATTTATTATCACACTGTACCCCACAGATATGTTCAATCATTAGGTATCAATTAAAAATATTAAAGTTAAAATTTTACTCTAAAAAATTAAACCTTCCCATTGACACACATAAGAATACATTCCCAAATGCTTACTCGGAGATCAGCCAGTATTTTTTGCAGTGTCTTCTCCAGAGTGGATCATGACTTGACAGCTGGTTAAGTCTTCGACTCACATAGCAACAACTGGCAGTAACCAGGTTCACAGAAGGAGAAGTTTCAGAAGGAGTGAAAGAAAAGGCAAACATATTAAAAACAAAGATTAAAATAGTCATTGCTAAATTCTGCTCTATTCCTTTCATTTTTCTCATTTTTCAGTGAAAACAGTATCTTGTAGGCATACTTAGAAGTCTGAAGCAGGAGGACAGCAAGCTCTGGGCAACTTAGCAAATTCAAGGCCAGTTATAAGGACTAAATAATGAGACCTTATCTCAAAAACAAAAATAGTACTGTCTAAGATAGCATTCTGTTCAAAGTGTTAAGCTAGTATAACTACCATATGAGCAATAAAATCTTTTTGTTCACAAATCCTGAAACTTCCTATAACTGTAATTTTTCTAAGTCTATTATATGCGCTATCAGAGTTAGTCTCAAATCAAAGAGTTTCCTTACATTATAATTATCAGAATAATAATCTCTATGTATAAAAATGTTATTTAGGTAATGTTATAAACAAAGTTATCAGGTTTTCTGTAGTATATAATATATGCTACAAATGCACAGATCCTTTGCTTTCATTTTTTAGAGGAAAAAAATACTGCAGCCACCAACACTTTTTATAAATAAGGTAACTATTAGAAAACCCACCCATAAGAAAATCTGACTCATAATAGTTAATTCAATATTCATGACCATACAAGTTAGCAGCTGCCTCAAAGCATGGAATATTAAACGCAAGTGCTTTTCCTACTATATCAAGATTTCTAATATAATAATCCTATAAATGCTACATAATTCATTTACAAAAAAGAATGAACCTGGATTTCTATACTTTTAGAAATCACAACTCAAAGTAGGTACTCGGCTGGGTAACAGGTAATTAATAAATTTTAAATCACATGGAGTTTTAAAGGCCATAAGTAGGAAGTATTAAAAACCCATCTATAGGGGTTGGGGAGATAGCTCAGTAGAATAAGTGCTTGCCTGGCAAATGCAAGGGCCTGAGTCCAATTCCTGGTTCCAGAACAAAAAAAAAAAAAAAAAATCTATGATAAATTTTAGCCTTTGATTTAGAGGTTAACAGAAATACCATCCTTATCCTTTTCTGCTATGCACAGAAACTACTCAAACTAACTTTTATAAACACAGAAACCCTCTTCAGTTTTTAAAATAATTTCAGGCTCCATTTCTTCTTTTCTGGATTCCTCTACCTCCACTGCCCCAGCAGCTGTAAAAAGCACCAAAGGTAACTTTGACACACATCAAGTTGAAAACTACTGTTCTACATAGAGAATCTGATTCAGATGGCTTGGAGTGAGAGTTATAACTCAGGTACAGTTATCCTTAAAAGGTGCCATTAATTTTGATACACGGTGAAGGTGAAAGTGGAGAATGGCATATGATGAAGCACTGGAATGGAGAAAGCATCACATGATCTCAGATTCAAACTATACAACTGTTCCTATGCCAAGATTCCCACAAACCAACCCAATACAGTTAAGCAAATGTGTACCAAAACAGCCTGGACTGGGCTGTATGGTGCAGGAAAGAAGCTATAGTACACAGACACCTGGGTAGCAGTCGATAGTATTCATTTCAACTGAATTCCACAGACATTAATGGTGGGGTCGGTCATACTTACGTTTAAAAGTTTGACTACCACATAAGACATTTAAAATAAAATCTGCTCTGCTAACCTTGGCTCACTGGTTGTACATGATCTCACCAGTTTCATCTCAAACTAGTCTGCCTGTGAGTCACTCCCTACTTTCGGCAATCACAGCTTCTAGTTCTTCCAATAGTCCATGCTGCTTGACAGTCCCATCAGCTTCCAAATGCACTGTTACCTCTGCCAGGGCTGCACTACTGCTGATAGGGCAGCTCTTTCTACTGCAAATTGGTCATCACTTTCTCCCTATTCCTTAACACAGCAATCTACATTCTTCACAGTACTTAGCATCTCTTGTAATTACAGACTTGTCCATCCTTCCATCTTGGCTACTAGTCTGTAAGCTACATGCAAGGGGACCTCATCTATTTTGTTCACTATTGCATTCCTGGACATTTAATCAGCTGGCACATAGCAGGTACTCAAAAAGCTGTAGAATAAATGATTACAGAGATAAACAAGAAAGTTCTTATATTTGAGAAGCACAATCTATCTGAGACACCAAATTTTGCAGACAAAAATAAGGTAGAGAGGGGGAACTCAAATTTCCACTTGCCAGGTTGAGAAGGGGATAGAAGGTATCTCAGTCAAAGTCAAAAGCTTAAGCCACAGAACAAAAAAGTGCAATGCATGGCATGTTAACACAGATCTAACTTGACTACTGCAATGGAGGAGAGATAAGGCCTGAAAAGCTTTACATATTAAGCCAGATGATAAAAACCTTTAACTGTCCAGGGGTTCAGCTTAGAGTCTTTAACAAGAAGTCTAAGTTTTTAAGGAGAGGCACAGCCAGATCGGCTGTGGCCAGCAATCAACACTGTGTGAGGTGGGGTGAAGAGTTTGAACCAGAATAACCTTTTATAAAGAAAAATTTTACTTTTCTGCATTGGTGCAGCCTGATCAGGTAAAAAGTATGTTTTAGAAAAACAAAAAAGTGTTAGCAGGGACTAGGACAGGTAGAAGTAACCTGGAGATAAATCTCTGTTACCACTTAGCTAGGATAACCAACAACTCCCTGTAACTCCAAGAAATATGTATTTCTAAAAGAACCCTTAATAACACAGGACACAATGGCCAGAATCAAATGTCTAGAATCCAGTGGTCAACCACACACACCCAAAAAAGAAGCAAATCTCGCCTGTTAAGAGAGGACATCCTCTGTAAACATACATGGTAGCATAAGAAACTCTGAACCATGCTGTCAAGTAAAAATCTGACACCTGGGGGATGAGGAAGGGGTGTGGGTAGCACCGCTTCTTCCACCAGCCCGAAACAGTCCCAATCTCTGAAAGAACTGTACACTTAACCACCCTTACCAGCAACCTATGTTTATCTTTTATAGACGGTCACCTGTATAGCACCACCGGAAGTCAGTACCAAAACACAAAATCCAACATCCAATAGTAAGGAGGAAAGGCTGAGCGCAAAACAGTTCTCAAACACGTAAGTCCCAGAGAGAGCCCCGCCAGCGTTCGTTGTGTCGGTGTCACAACTAGGGTGTCAGAGTGGCCTGTCGCTTCCCTCCGCACTATCTGTCCACGCCGCCTCCGGACCCCGCAGGCCCCAGCCCAACAAGGAGCGGCACGAGCATGAACGGGACTTGTCCGGCTTATCTGCGGCGTCCAGGGCTGAAATAGACCGGGCGGGGCCCTTCGGGAGCGGGGGTCCGAGGCAGGGCAGCATGGGGGACGCCACTTTCGTCCCAGACAACTGGGCCTGACTGCGGCCTGGCAAACAGGGCTGTCGCTCCCCAGGTCTTAGGCACAGGACGAAAAAATTACCTCAGGCCGGGTTCCTTCCACCCCAGTCCTTCAGCCCCCGGTGGCTCCTCAGGATAAGGGCGACCCAGGCGTCACCTTCTGGAGACGCGGGAGCCGGAGTCGCCCGGCCTCCAGGTCTCCTCCCTCAGGGCCTCCTCCCGCGTGCTCCCACCACTGCCACGCGCGCCGTGCCTTACTTGATAAGGTCCCGGTAGTCCAGAAAGGATAAAATGAGGAGCAAAGGGTCTGTAGGCAGCGACTCCAGGGTCAACAGCGCCAACTCGGCCTCCATGGCCGCCATCTTGCCTGGCGCGGTGCAACCTGGCCCCGCCTTAGTCCCGCCTCCGCTGCTGCCGCCGCGCCTCTGCCGCTTCCCTCCGCGCGCTCAGGTTTGTTATGTAACCGACCTCTGACCCCGCCCCCTGGGAGGGCAGAGGGGCGGAGCTCCAGAGGCCCCGCCCCTCCTCTGCCTCGCGCTGCAGAACCCGGCAGAGCTGTCCATCACCTGGCCCTCCGCGCAGCGCTCTTTCGTTTCCTGCGCTCACACCTAGTGCTCTTCCAGACTTTGTTCCCCTCTCTTTTGCCTCGCAAATTCTCAAGAGCCTCAGATCCTCCTCCTTAACTTCACACTGATTCCTCTGCCCTTAACCCCCTAATCATTTCTCCGTTTCTCTTCTTTTCCCAATCCACCCTCGTTGCTCCCTTCTCGTGCGTGCTCCGCGCGTCTCTCAGGGCTGCTCGGAGCCTTCCACGCGGCAGGGGCAGCCCTAAATCTGCCAGAGGCGTGGGGGGAGGCTGTGCTCCCCAAATGGGAAATAATCCTAGGCGTATTTTACTACCACCGCCCCAAGCCAAACAGACACAGGCACTGAGATTGAGCCTCATCTGCTCTCACTTAATTTCGTTGCCTTGGCTATTTGTCAATCTATCAGAGCAATGGAAGGTGTATACTAAGTGTATGTGTGTGTGTGTGTGTGTGTGTGTGTGACTAAGGATTAGATCCTGGAGAGTTAAGTGTCCAAGGGATGAACTGAAACGCCTAGACAGCATGACTGAGGCATGAATGATGTAAGAAAAATAACTCCCCAGGTTTTTATTTATTTATTTATTTATTTATTTATGTTTTACTCCCCAGGTTTAGATGTCAGATGTACTGAGGGCAAGGTCTCACAAGATCGAGGAGTGAAGTTGAGAACTAAAGGTGAAGGTTGAAAGAGATTTATTGGAAATAAAAATAACAGCTCCTGGATGTCCAGGACAAGTCCAATATGGGTAGCCAACGGACTCCTCCACCCCAAGATACCTATAGATAAGGTGAGCACAGGAATTGCTCCGTTGTTTGGTGCCCACATATCACAAATAGCTCTGGATCTAAAATGATCAATTGGAACTCAGGTTCTCTAACCCAGTTCTTCAACTTGTACAGTTTAAAGGAAATTGGGACTTTAGGGGTTGTTTTTGCATTTTAAATTCCTCAGCACTCAGGAGTAAGTCCGAAGTTGGCTACACCTCCCTTTAGTAAGAGTGGGCTGCATTCCTTGCTACCTGAGGAAGTTCAGTGGCTTTGAATTCCTCAAAACTCTGGAGTTCAGTAAGGAGTAGCTGAGATTTTCAAGAGGGCTATAATCTCATTGCCTAAGGAAATTCATCCTTTGTCCAAAATCTTAGTTCACTGCCTATTATTAATTTTCCTCAGTATCGTTGGTCACACCAGTTGTATCTCAGGCCCTTCTACTAGCTAGCTGCCTTGTTCATAAGCTAGCTAAATAAATTATTTTCTACACGAGATGGTTCTTCAGCTTATTCAA